GGTCTTATTAGCATAACAAATATTACACTAAGAAAAGAGATTTATGATTCTGAAAATAAACGATCTGTTAATTGTTAAAATCAATTTTTTTAACTGTTAATAAATATTTTATAATAGTAAAAAGCCTTGATTATAAACATATTAGTAGTTTTATAATAAATAAATTTTATTTTATCGTAAAGAAATATTTTTTACCATTACAAATCTTTTCTATCAGTACACGTACTGTTGGAAAAAAATTTTGTCTAAAGTTTTATGTGCAAAAAGTGATGTAAATGTTTATTGAAAAATTTTTTTTTTATTGTTTTAAGATGATAAAATGGCTGGTGAGAAATTTGTTTAAAGTTTAGATAATTTTAGATGATAATAATTCAATCCAACGAAAGACATTTACTTCTGGAGTATTCTTATGTAAATCTCGAAATTCTTCGTTCTTTAGTTGTCTCTTTTAAATATAGCTTATGATAAAGGGTTGTGGCTTTCTCTTTATACTCAAGTCCTATGCTTTCATCTCGTGACTGCATACTCCAAACGTATAGAAGAATACATTTGCTAAGTTAATTATTTTTATTAAGGTAAAAGCACTAAAAACTGACGTTTCAGAAATGATGATCCTTTAAAGAATACTTTACCTATTCTTTCAAATGTTAACTTTTACATTCGCATAAACTATAATAAAAAATATAATAAGATTTACAAATACACTAAGTGAATATCAACAGACAAAATTATTATTTTTTTTTTTCCATTCTTTCTTTATTTAATTAAAAGCATGTGTAGGTTTAGCCAATTTTCTTTTATCATGATAATATAAAAAATAATTTTCAGTTATTATTTTATAAAAGAAAATTATTATTATTATTATTATCAAGTGGATAAGTAATGGTAGTAATTAGATGTTCTCTTCATTTTTGTGTGTATGAAAAAAACATTAATTTTTTTCACTTCAACTCTTAAATATATCTTACTTTATTTAAAGATATTAATAATATGATGATTATAGTTATAATTAAAGAAAAATTATTTTAAAAATTACTTAATAATACACAATTTCACTGATTATAATCATTTTTTGTGACAAGCATTTGGCAATTATTTTCTTTTTCTTATGCTTATTACAATTTTTCCTTAACAAAAAAAAAAAAAAATAATTCTTTTTAAGACTTATGCCGTGAAGAATTATTTCTAGAGTTCGTTTACCTGATTCTTTGTCACAAAAGACGTAAACCACATCTTCGTGCAAGTTGTTTAAAACGTAAGTAAAGAAGCAATTTCGTTTGAAGCACCGCTTGCGTGTCTCCAGTCATTCATTTCGTGCTCCAGTTAGATTATAACGTCGCCAGAGCCTGGTAAACATGAGTTACCATAGTCTATTTATTTTATTGATTCCAGAACAGGAGAAAGAGTGAAACTTAGAGCTTTTATGCATCCATTATCTTTATATATATATATATGTGACTGTATATTACTTTATCTTCTATCTATTTAACCTGATGTGTCGCTTATGTGATGTATAGTTCGATGACCATTAATATAGTGAAAGATCGTTATCTCTTTGATAACTTTTCGTCCCTTTTTACCTTTCTCTATATTACTTGCTATCTATGCGGCTGTATTACTTTATTCTAGTCCATTCGGTAGATAATGGATGCCTTTCATTTTACCGGTGGTGTTAATGCACTTGAAGTATTGCTTAAGTAGTTATATAGCTTTTGGATTAATTATTGATCAGTGGTAGTGAAATAAAAATTTAAGTAATGCTGAAGTTTAGATGCTATTAAGTGATGACTTGACTATTATTATATCATTAATCATTCAGTAAATTATTTTTTCTACTCATATTTATCCTAAATTTTTGCATTTTATTATTATTTTTAAATGATAAACAAGTTAAATAATTTATCAATTTATTTATTTTAATTGAGTAATTATTGAATGATAATTATTAAAAACTATTAAAGATAATTTTTATTTAATTAAAAAATTATTGATTACAAAATTTGTTTTATATGTATAAATAATGTGTTAAAGAGAGTGAATAAATGAACAAATAAAGTAATTATTAAAATTTAAATTAATTAAAAAAATACAAGTTTCATGGGTAAATTGAAAAAACAAATTTAATCTTAGAAAGAAAAAATTATTTATTGTTTATAAATAAATAAATGACAGAGTAATTAACGGTGGTAAGGAAGTAAAGAGTTTTCTATGATGAGAAAATGAAAAATTCTGTCACATTCATGAATGTATCACTTTTCGAGATCTTGTGGTTTCGCAATATGGATCAGCTTATCCATATGGGTTAGAAGTTGATGCAGAAACGGACCAAAGTCGATTGCTTTGGACCTTACATGAGCCGTCGGAAGCCCTTTGGACATCAAAGCATTCTAAAAGGCTTCGTGGGTAATTAATTCTCTTCCCTCTTTCACCTTGGTGCACGAAACTCCCCAGAAGCGTTATTCTCTTTCCCTGTAAGCGTCTTCCCTTTTGGTTTGCTTAACTTTGCTTAGCGAATGTACTGGATATATAAGCTATATAGGTACGATAGGGCTTATTTTACTACTTTCTACATGTCAGACGATCGTGCGACATGCGACAAGAAAAATTACTTGTCACTAGAACATTATTTTATCTTGAATGTAAACATTCCCGCGTGCTTAACCTTCGTTTCTACTATGAGGAAATAACTTGCAAAGTGACAAGCAAATTATTTGTCGCATTAATCAAAAAATTCCCCGTTAGATTGATAATCATAAATTTTTCCTTACATGTTTCATGTTTATAAAGCTAAGTTTTTGTACTCATTTCAACATAAATATTTCATTTAATCAACATTTTTTGTTGCTCACACTGATAGAAAAGATTTGTAAAGGTAAAGGAAGCTTTTAGTTATTGAAAAATATTTTGTAGCTTATTTTGTATATAATAATTCCTTAATATTTTTATCAGTCTATTTTCTTTACAATGAAATGAGATTTATTTAATTTAAAAATACTAATGTGTCCATAACCAAAGCTTTTTTATTATTATCAAATATTCACTAGCAGTTAAAAAAAATTTATTTCAACAATAAACAAATCGTTTTTTACATTTATTTACAAGCTAGTTGATCATTCATCTTAATATCCAGACAAGTTTTTCTATACAAAAAAAATTAATTGAGTTCCCCGAAAGTTGCGAATTTATCCGACAGAAAATAGTGTCAATAGAGGTATCAGTGGTCTGATCATTATCGGGACTTTTCTACTTTGAGTAGTAGATATAGATGAAATAACTCCAATAGTTGGGATTTAGGGTCAGTTTGATTTGTAGATAAGTTATAAATGAGTGTGTAAGTAACTTGTGATTTTGGTGATAGTGATTAAGACTTCTTCTGCAGGTGCGCATTAAAATAGGCAGCAGAGGCGGGAAGTGGCATACGAGAACAGGTGAATGGGTTCTCCAATCGTAAATGACTTTCCAACGTAGCGTTGCATGCTCCTCCTTCTGTGAGCTTTCAAAGGTGTGGCTTTTATCTGCGCCTGCGTTTATATGCTCCGCCTTTTCCCACTTGCGACTTTCCCGCGCTTTTGTTGCTCTGAAGTAAGGTGAAAAAGAGTACAGAGAGCAGCTTAGAAAAGAGCTTTCCAATGTGCTTATTAAAAATAATCCTAATTTTTTCTAGTTTGAATATTTTATTTTTCCTTTCCATTTGTTTTATTGTATAATCTTCAGAAAAAATTTTAAATTTTTAAATATAAATTTTTGAAACTTTTTTTATCATATTATATGTTTATATTATTCTTTAAGTCTCTTGAATATTTTAAAGGAATATAAAATACTTTATCTCAGGATAGTTAGTGTTCTCGGTATGCAAATGAACCTCCATTTACTTCTGCTAACTTCTGATATCCCTTGATACTTAGTACGAAGTTTGTAAAAGAAAAGTTTTTGAATTATTCCAAATTTTATGATTATGTAGATTTTATTTTCTTTTTCTTTAATACTCAGACAGTTGGCACTAAAATGTAGGTCGTCGTGAAATATGAGCTAGTATTATTACCATTTTATTATTCTCATAAATAAATGTTTCAAATCTTCATTATCTATTATTATTATTTATTGTAATATCATCTATTTAATTATAATTATTTTTTTCTCATATAAACATTCAATTTATTTTTACTGACTGATCGAGGGATTTTTTTTTCCGGCGATTGAGGTTCATTTTAAATCACATACGAACCTTTTGTGATACAAGATCCAATTCTCACTGAGAAGGATCGCAAGCTCGACATCCCCAGATGAGAATCTAGTTGCGCTGTAACCATCTATCCCCCACCAATATGAGTTTAGTGCTTGCGGGCCAGTCACCCCTGAAAGCGCACGCCCGCATTTGGAGCTTTCAGTCGCCCGCGAACGCGCGCCGTGTTAGTCACGTAGCTTTTGCTCCATTTACATTCGGACCGTGTTTATAACTTTACCTCACGCTTATCAAAACAATCTTCGAACTAGCGATTATGGTGATTTGAATTATCTGCATCTGCTGATAACTAACTATGATAATAATAGCAATAAAAAAAAAACGATAATGATGAATAAATAATATACTTAAATAATCTATTTCTTGTTTGATAAAAATTTAATTTATTTTTATTTAAATATAAATAAAATAACTAAGTGTTTAACAATTGCAGAATAATGTATGTACTTTATGAATGATTGAAGATTGCACTCAATTAATTTTATTTCCGGTAAAAAAAAAAATAATTTAAATGACTGAATAGTTGAACGAATTTATTTGTAACATAAATTGGAATAGTTGAAAAGGAAATTACGCTACGGAAAGTAATAAAAACGATTCGGAATAGGATTTTTCAATCCAACGAAAATGATGGTAATTCAAGACTGAATAAATTGATCGATGATGAAATATTGTTTAGGTGAATTTATTAAAATTTAATAGACTGATTAAATAGGACTTGAAGGAAATGAAGAATGATTATAATTGTTGATGACTTGAAAATAGTAACAAAAAAAAAATTGAAGTAAAAGAAAAATAAGTAAAAAAATATAAAATAATTGCTGGTGCTATTGTTATTATCGCGTGTCTGCAATCGTTAGACTCGTGCTATTACCACGTGGTAGATTGAGTGAGGAAGGGGAAGATCAAACGACTCCTCTCATCGGCTTGAAAATTAATTCAGCCGTTTTCACCAGCGTATTGTGTAAGATTTCGTCATCAAATTTGTAAGTAATAGATGTTTGATTTTTTATTCAATAAGTACTGGATAATTTAATGAAAATGTATGAAATGTAAATGTAGGAAGTGATGAATTGAAGTTAATTTTAATTTAGCAGATGAAATAGAATTTAAATCGGTTAGAAAAGGGTAATGCTGGGATTTAGAGTATTTCACATTGAACAAGAAATTTAATATGACATCATACAACTTTTAGAAGTTTGAATGACTCGACGGACAATTTGCCCATTAACCGAAGCAGCTTCTAGCGGTAATGGAAGTCATTGTTCAAGTTATCTTACCTATGATACCTACAAGCTGTATCACTACTCTGTATTTAGCTCACTTGTACGTGTTTCCACCTGCATGCATTCTGTCTATTGTATGTACAAACACTCTCCTCTCTTAGGACGGTAATATCATGGCCAGGTTACACCGATTCTCTCGTACTATCCATGTTGTTATTGTGTAGAAGATGAGATTCCATTATGATTTCGTTAATTAAATTTATTTAACTCGTTTCAAATAGTTTCTCTTTTTTATTCACTCTGTTATGTAATGAAAAGATAGTTTTTTTTTTTTTTTCTTACTTTAATTACAGAAAATAAAATTTATGATTTTAATTATTATTAAAAATATTTTTAACTAACAATTAAAAATAAAATTAATGTTTTAGTTTTTCTAATTTATTTTCTTGTACTTTAAAAATATTTTTGATCAATTTTTCTAGTAGAAAAATATTTTCCTTTGCATTAAACAACGATTTTTAGATATTCATTGATGAATATAAATAACAGTTGATGGTTCAAAAGGTTTTTAAATCATTTTATTCAAGACTCCAATGAGTGAAAAAAAAAAAATTGAAATTTAATAAAAAAATCCTCTAGATCATTTGAGTGCTCGATTTCTGTTAATATTATTATCTGAACTGATTGTAATATTATTTGCAAGGTAAATAAAAAAAAAGAAGTCGCGAAAAATGGATATAAAAATAATAAAAAAAAAAAAAATTTGTATTCATAGTCAACGATCGTTTCGTGACTGTTGAACGAATCCTGGCTTTCTCTTTTTCTCTCTCTATCATCCAAGGTTATATGTTGGCAGGCCACCTCTTGCGAATTTTGTTTTGATTTTTTTGCTTGCGGAATAGGTTCATGGTCGTGTGTATTCAACGCCACGGGCGAATTTGCGAGGCGCGAAAAGGATCCTGGCATGATTAGGAAAGTATCAAGCGCAAAGAGGTGGCACAGGATCAAACTCGAAGGAGAAGAAGGAGAGAGAGAGGACGTAACGATATAGAGAAGAGCGGGAATACTGGTACTAGTGAGGTAGACAAAGATAAAGTGATATTGCGAATTCGAGATTTCAGACTCTTGCTCAAGGACACACGATGCCCAGAGGTGGACTATGCTAAACTTTCCTCTCTTTCTATCTTGCAGACTTCTCATACAGTCTTTCAACACAGACCGGTAGAAAAATGAAATTACCAGTCAATTATGCTGGCTAAATAATTTTATTTGATTGAAACCAAGAAAGAATTAATTTTATTTCGTACTTTAGTAGTTAATATCTATTGTTTTAATGAGAACGGTTTGAATTTAAAATAGATCATATCAAATTTTTTATAATGAGAAAACTCATGTTATTACTCGCTCTTCTGACTCATGTATGGATTCGCAGTTAAAGTTTGCCTTCTTTTCTAGGTTGTTGTGATAAACTTTTTAATAGAAAACTAGACAAAATAATTATATTAAATTATAAAAGTATTTTCAACAGCATTTAATGTTCTCTTGAATTATTTTTATCTTATGATGACTAGGATTTTTTTAAAATCTTCTATTATGTATGGAAATTCAGTTCAATATTCTGTGAATATATTTTTATTTGAGAATTTTTAATTTACTTTATACATTCTAGAATAAAATTTCATTTCTATTCATTAATTTTTCATAGTCATACGTCATTTTAAATTAAACAGATTTTTCCATCTTATTAAATTATTATAATTCATATAAAAAGGAAAAATTAAAAAAGTTATTAAGTGAATAGATTTTTTTTTTCACTAGTTAATTGAATGAGAAACAGTTTTCTTATTAAACGTTGTTAGATATTCTCATATTTTCCATGTAGAATCAATATTAAATTTCTTATGATGAGTAAATTTCCATTACTATTCATATCTATTCAACTTAAATTGATTCTATGTTGAATATTTTCCTGCTCAGTAGATAAACATTATCGAAAACAGGAAACTAGGATTAATTTGAATAATTAAATTTTTCTTTTTATTAAGAAATTATGCAGAATATAATTTTCTTCATTAAATTCCACTGGCGATTCTCATATTTTACATTTAAAATTGATGTTATTAAATTTCTTAGAACGAGTAAATTTTCATTACTACTCATCCATCCAACTTACATTGCGTGGAGGTTGCATTAAGTGATTTCTAGTATAATAAATTGCTTTTTCACAAAAATTACCATTCAAACTTCTATATTACTTCTCTTTACCACTAATATCAATTTCATAACATTAAAATCTATGCTAATAATATTACCATCTAAATAAAAATTGATGAAAACTATTTTCTACGATAGAAAAAAAAAATCTATAAAAATGATATTATCCACAAATTCAAACGGCATCTCTATACCAACACATCAACGAAATATGTGAATACAAATAATTGTATGTTGATGTAAACTCACGCATGTGAGTACTTATTTTGCATACTGTACGTATACACCATGAGTACATATAGGCCCTAGTGGGTTGACCGGGCTCTCTCTAGTCGATCAATAGCACCCCGACTTTCTCGTTTCAAGCCGAGTATTCGAGATAGGCACCCCATTGCTATGCCACCCCGAAAACCACTTTATATTTTAGTGGCAATGTTCTACAACCCTTCGTAAGACACTAGAGCTTTGCCAAGACATCACTGCTTTCATTTCGACTGTGTGTGATGATTCTTATTTTTTTTTGTCACCAAATGGTCTGTTTTCTAATTTCTTTTCTCTTCATCTCTCATTCAGTTTTATTTAATTCTTCACTTGTTCAGATGTTAGTAGGCTTCGGACGACGACGGTGTGTATGTTGTTTTTTAAAATTCATTATTTATCGATCGATGGTAAAATAGAAGTCACGATAACAGCTTATGGACTTTTATAGATGAATATTTACAATATGCTTTTATCAATCTTCTGACATTTTATGTAATTAAGGATAATTTACTTTGCTCTATTTTATCTGATTACCATGTAAATCGTGTTTTAATGTTCTATAGCTTGGTATTAATGCTTATTGTTTAATATTAAAATATTTAAATAGACTTTTATCATGATAACAAAAAAGCTTAATTAGGATTTGTGTAATAAGATTGGAAAGAGAATAATTATTTTGCTCTAGAAATAATATTTTTAAACAATAAATTGTGATATTTATTTTCTAAATACTTAGGTTATTCAAATCTAATCAGGTTGAAATTACCACTGAATGTATTGGAAAAGAGTTCCGAAGTTACTTAATGTTGATAAAATTTTCTGGAAAATCAGTTAAAATCGTTCTCCGAGTTATTTAGAAATTTAAACAACATTAAAGGTGGAAAGTTGGGAGTCTGACCTTTCTAAAGGACTCGTACAACTTGTTTATACTGAAATTCGTCTTTGTTGGTAGCTACAACATGTTTTAAACTCTATCAAACTCTTCGAATCGTAATTTTGTGGTATCACTTGTATGTTTAATTTAAAATTTTTAAATTACTTTTTGACTTAAATATGTTAAATTTATAGTCATACTAATTTACGTTAACTTGGGTATTAAGTTAATGGTATAACAATATTGAATTATATGAAGCGTAAATTCGATTTGGAAGATAAGAATAAAAAGTAGGTATTAAGAAATATAGAGTTTGGATCTGGTTCTTATAACTGTAAGGAATTTTATGAGTTTTGTTAAGAGACTTTAGTAATAGGGAGTGTGGAACTCAATCTAAGTGACTTCTGTAAAATTCCTCTTCGTTGTAAAGAGGTAGTAAAATGGAAGATATAAAATCCAAAGTAAAAATAAATTTTTTTTCTTCACTCATTTATTTATATTGTTAAATTATTTTAAATGAGTTTGATTAAGGGATTGGTGATGTTATTTTAGATGAAATATTTTGTGGTTTTACGATCGATGTTAAATTACATTTCAAAGAATTAATTTAGTGATGATACGTGTTTACATAGTTTAGTGTATCAAACAAATACAATTTGTTGTTGAAGTTCGTGATTCTCAACTATGTTTGTCAGAGAGCATAATATAAAAGTCTATTTTACTTATTCGTATAGTTCCGTTTTCATGACCACTCATCCTCCAGTTCTTTGCGTGTTCGTATGCTTTTTTATTTCTTCCTCTTTCTACGTTTCTTTCCTCTCACCTTCCAGGTTTGATTGAATTTTTTCCTCAGGAAGAAATGTTTCCACCAAATGAATCTGTCGAAATATTGCATTCCAAGAAGCGATTCTGTTTTTTATTTTATTTTATTAAAAATAAAAAAAGAAAAAAAAATTAAATATGATTAAAAGAACAAAAATTATATTTAGTAGCTTGATTTTTCCTTATTTTCTCACTGATGGTTTTAGTGTACTGTTGAATACTCGGAAGCATTTATTTGACCTCGTATGATCCCTGAGGCCAGTCACACGAACCGTCTTATAGAACTTTCCTTAAAACTTTCACACTTACGCTCCTTGATGTTTTATGAAAAAAGTTAAAATAACATCCTATGAAAATGACATTTTACTACTACTTTATATAAACTCATTTTATTGAATAATTTGCCCAGTCAAATTGCTTAATATTAATGTAAATATATTCTTAGATATTATTTACATTGATGCAAAAGTTATAAAAGAGAGTAAATATACTGATAAATAGACATGTCAATGCATTAAAAATGATTAACATTTGTTAATATATTCGTTCATTTACGCTGCTTCTTCATGTTTCACTTCACCCTACCTTC